TGGATTTGTGCCGAGTCACCATTTTTATCTATATAGCAAAGGATGTTGGTGCAATTCTTCAATTATTTTCTCATGAAAGCTTTTAGAAATTAATGGCATATTCACACATAATACAGAAATACATGTTTTGTTTTGTTTTTTGTAAATATGTGCTGCCCATCTTACAGAAAAGGCTGAAGTCTTCTCATCTACCAACCCTAATCGAGGATTCTCCCCCAAAGTTAGCCACTGTTAGCATTTTCTGTATGTTCTTCCAGAAGGACGTAGCATGTTCACATAAAAAAATTACATGGTATTATTTTGAGTGCACATGTGTATGTGGGGATGTTATGGTATATAAATGCATACTCCACTGTTTACATGTGGCATTTTGTGTTGTGTGTGTGTGTGTGTGTGTTTTGCATTTGCTATTTTCATATGCTGTAGTTTTAAATTGCACTCTGTGGAATTGTGAGGGCTGAAAGCATGTGTATTTCTAGATGCTTTATACCACTTCCTCTAGAGCAGCTCTGCTTTAGATTTTTTACATATGGGGCCTTTGGGTAAAATTTTATTTAAAGAACAAAACTGCTTCCAAAGAAAAGCTTGCAAACTATTTTATGATACCTTTTCTCTATTGCCTTATAAAAAGAAAGAAAAACAGAAAAATGGAAGTGCAGATAGTAATGTGGTGATGCATCCATCTCATGCACTTAATCAAGCTGAGAGGAAGTTGGAAATCACCAGGTGTGGCACTGAGGTGAACATTTAGCTTCAACCGGATGCTTGTTGGACTTCAGTCAACTGTGTTTTTCATCGTAAGGGTGAAAAAAACGAAAGAGCAAGTAGAAATGCGGATTGTACTTCAGAGGTGTAAACCCACGGTGTGTCCTACTCTAGGTATGTTCTGGATGATCAGTACACAAGTTCTTCCGGTGCTAAATTTCCTGTGAAGTGGTGTCCCCCTGAAGTGTTTAATTACAGCCGCTTCAGCAGCAAATCAGATGTCTGGTCATTTGGTAAGATCCATGGTCCATGTTTCCTTATCTCTGTCCGTCCTGAGGAGGAAGTGGATACATCCATTGGGTAATCCTTATCCTTTTCCAGGTGTTTTAATGTGGGAAATATTCACAGAAGGCAGAATGCCCTTTGAAAAATACACCAATTATGAAGTGGTAACCATGGTTACTCGAGGGCACCGACTCTACCAGCCGAAGTTGGCGTCTGCCTATGTATATGAAGTGATGCTGAGATGTTGGCAGGAGGTATAGACTTTTTTGTGTGCTTTCTTTCTGAATCTCTTAGGGATTGGGCTTGGTAGATGGACAACATGCAGTCTTTATAGCCTAGTGAGGTGGTACATGCTTTACAGTGATTTCAAGCACTAGGTAGGAAGCCAATCCTCAAGTTCTGAATATTGGCAAGAAGAATGTAAAGATGTGGAAAATGCTAATAACTATCTTGATACATTCAGGCTGCTTCCTCACTCCCAAGTGGGACTCCTTCCATGGTTGTCTGAGCTAGGGACTCGGGACTAAGTCTGGAGAAGTAGCTCTTTTTGAATTGGGTCACTGGTAGAGTTGAAGTATTGTTCTTTTACCAGAGTTGGTTTCTTTCTCTAAACCTCAACTTTCTGAGGTCTTTGGAAGTATTGAAATGTCACCTCTAAAAGAGATTAGATACCAAATGACTTCTGAAAGACAGTAACATTAGCTCACATGTATCATGTACCAGGCACTATACTTAGTGCTTTGGATTTAGTTCTCAAAACAACCCTTTAAGATAGAGATACTTCAACTGTGGCCACTCTGTAGATGAGAAGATTAAGGGTCATGAGGTTGCTGCTTGCCTGGGGTCACTTAGCTATAGAGCAGCATCGGCCTGTCTGACTCCAAAGCCCAGGCTCTTAACCACTTGCTCTATTACCTCCCAAGAGCATTGATTGGGATGGGCAGAGACATTCTGGGCAGGAAGTGGTGCTAGAGGGAGAGAGAACAGCTTGAGCAAAGCTAAGGAGGTGGTTATAAACACCGTGTGTGTGCACGACAGGGGAGAGGGTGGCCCGATTTAATAGAGAGCTCATGTGAGGGTTTTTGTGGGGAATAAAATTGGATGACGAAAGGGTGGGGAAGTGGCAGGTTATAGAGGATCCTACAGATTTGCAGGACTTGATTTCTCAGGCAGTAAGGAGATCTACCAGGGTCTTGAAGAGAGACATGAAAGCAGCATTTTAGAAAGATTAGCCTAGCAGCAGGACATGCAGGGTAGAGGAGGGTAGAGACAAGACCCCTTTGGAGATAGCATGTATGTCCCAGTCCCAAAGCAGGAGCCTCTCTGTAATATGCTATGTTTAGGAATTTGAGCAGTGAGAGTTTTTGGAATGGATTCTGGAACCCACAGCTTCTCTTTGACTTTTAATTGTAGAAACCAGAGGGAAGGCCTTCTTTTGAAGATCTGCTGCGCACGATAGATGAACTAGTTGAATGTGAAGAAACGTTTGGAAGATAAGTGATGTGATCAGCAGCTCCCAGGCAGAAGGAAGGATGGGCATTTTGTGGCTTTTAATTTATTGAGTACTTGGACATGTGGATGGTTTTACTTAGAAAGTGGAAACACATAAAGAATTTGCTTCTGGGTCAGCCTCCGTCTAGACTTGCTTCTAGACGGAATCTCCCAGAGTGTGGAAATGTTGCCTTGGAGATGGTGATTAAAATCACTCATTTGTATTCATTCCTCAGGCACTCGAGTGACAACTGTGTACCAGGCACTGTGTACAGCCCCAGGGTTTGGCCATTTAGGGGTGCACATGTGGTATCATGTTAGTTGATGCCAGCTGAAGGCCAGGGTATTTGGGAAGAGGAAGGGTATTAGAGCCACGACCCAGTAACTCTTCTTTTTCCCTTTGACTTCTACAGAAATCTGGGCCTGAGACATTGTCTACAGTTGGGTTCTAGATAAATCAGGAACCCACCTTGGATAAACACCCATCTTTTGTTTTGAAAACATGTTTTCAAGACTACTCTTAGTATTACATGAAAAATATTTGTATGCTGTATATATTATAAATATATGTAATATATAAAGTTATATATTTATAAGAAACATGAGTTGTCTTTTAGTTGAAACTTTTAAACCTGTAGTATATGAGCTCACCTTCTTAGGACTAGCGACTGTGCCTTACAGCTGTTCATTCATTTCCCCCTGGACATCAAATATGCCTGAAGAGAAGAAAGTCTCAACTCTTCTACTAGTAATACCCTCTCCTCAGGTAAATGTGTCTGGGGATGCCTGTCCAGCTTAACCACCAACAGGGTCTGCCTATGTAATCCTGTCCGTGGTGTCCACAGCTAATCAGAATCAGGTGGAAAATTGAACCAGGTAATCTACTTCTAAGCTTTAAGAATCTTCCCTGGAGCACAGACACTATAATTGGAAGGGCTGGGCTCTGGGGCAGAAGGATCGGGTGATACTCGCAACAAAGTCTGCCTCCACCTCACGCAAGAGCCGGAAAGAGCTTGAGTTGTGGCGGAGGATCCAGGAAACAAGAGAATGGCGAGCACGGTGTTCCGAGCAAGAGAAACGGCGAGCGTGGGGTTCGAGCTGCCTCCCAGATGTTTTTCAGGAGGCCTGGTTGGACTTGGGTTCCGGGATGGGTGGCACTGTCGTACATTCTCCCAGGAGACCCTGCTGTCTAGACTCTGCGTGTGGATTTCTCATCCTTAGAAGCTCTACTAAGACATTAACGGAGTTGGCCCTTCCTTTTTTCCTCCAGAGTGCCAAGGAAAAGAAACTATCTCGGTCATGTGAGCGTCAGCAGAAAGAAACTATGTATCAGTCACCCAGAGACCATTTATCCGCCAACACATTATTCTTGGTATTAGTTGGGTAGCCCGCCGAGGAAGACAGCGCCTTCCCTTCAGGAGTTCCGTCTTTTCTGGAGGCCGCCATGGTCTTTCGTGCTCTCTGGAGCGTTGGGTGAACACACAGGCTGGCTGCTCTGGGCAGCGCCTTCACTCTGACCCTGGAGAACCATTTCATTTCATCCCGGTCAGTCTAGAGTCTGGACACCAGGCAGTCCATCCACTGAAGGCTGTGTTTATTCTTTCCCTGTGCACCTCATAGTGGAAGAAAGTAAACTACTTATCCCGAGTCTTATCACAATCGGCCTCATTCCTTCTTATCTACCTGTTTCATTGTACTCCCATCACAAAAACATGCACAATTTTTTTTTTTAAGTTCCGGGGTACATGTGCAGGATGTGCAGGTTTGTTACATAGGTAAATGTGTGCTATGGTGGTTTGCTGCACCTATCAACCCATCACCTAGGTATGAAGCCTGGCATGCATTAGCTATTTTTCCTGATGCTCTCCCCTCATCAGCCCTCCCTGTGTCCATGCGTTTTCACGGTTTAGCTCCCACTTATAAGTGAGAACATGTGGTGTTTGGTTTTCTGTTCTCGCATTACTTTGCTGAGGATAATGGCTTCCAGCTCCAAACATGTCCCTGCAAAGGACATGAATTCATTCTTTTTTATGGCTGCATAGTATTCCAGTATATATACCCATTTTCTTCATCCAGTCTCTCATTGATGGGCATTCAGATTGATTCCATGTCTTTGCTAACCGTGCACAACTTTTAACTGACTTGTAGCTCATTCAAGGGGTCAGTCCTGGTACACTCTACCTTACTATCACTGTCAGCCTTTTCTCCTTTCTTCCTCACCTTCCCTTCTCTTCTCCTCCCATCCCATACTTCCCTTTTCACCTTGAGGAGCTATGGGAAGTACTGGGTGGTATGGAAGAGAATGAGGAGAAGATGGAGTCCCTGCCCTAATGGTCAATGTATGCTGTTGATGGAAAAACAAGATAGATAGCTCCTGGCAACATTTCCAGCTCCAAACATGTCCCTGCAAAGGACATGAATTCATTCTTTTTTATGGCTGCATAGTATTTAAAGATTCAACAATCTTTAAATATTTTTTACTAAGACTTAAAAACTGTTTTTATACAAAAGTTGAAGTAAAAATAACAGTCATCACTCAGAATGCTAAGGAACCTTAATCTAAACAGGAAGTGGGAAGGGCGGTGAGAATATCCCTGTGTCTTCATTAAAGTCGTTCCCTTCATTCGTTAACACATGGTTATGCTTTCCAATGGGATGAAGTGAAACTCCCAAGTGTGTTTTGTATTGTTGTTGTTTTTATATTTCTCAGCCATGCCCCAGTCACCTTTTAGGGTTATTACTAGATTGACTTCCCCTACATAAAGTGTCTGCTGAGTGGGAGGATGGAACATTCTCAACTCAATATTCCAGAGCCTAGAATTTAATTGTTTCTGCCACTCCCTGTGTGGCCTTGGGTAAGTCCCTTAGTGTATCTGTGCCTCCATTTCCTTTCCAGTCCAGAGAGGGCAATTTGACTTGATGATTTTAAAGGTGCCTTTTACCAAAATTTTGTGATTTCTTGAAAATGATGTTTGCGAGTCACCCACACCTTTGGGGATGAGACTAATAGCAGACACCCTCAGAGATTGGGATGTAGATTACTGAGCTTTCTTATATAGGCCATTGGTTGTCATTTATACGCTTCTGAGGTTTTCAGAACAGGAAAATAGGAGGGGTTAACTCTGCCCGTGAGAAACATCTTTGGTGAACTATGATTTCAGTTGAAAGATGTGTTTTTGTGAGTGGAGCACCGCAGAAGAACTGAAGACTTGTGTGCTCTGTGTGCTCCCCGCAGAAGGGGCTGCCATGATCCTTTCCTCTTGTAAGTAAGATGGGCTTTGTCATTTATTTTCGGGATTTGTTCTGGGCCTATTATTCTTGAATAGCAGAGGACTTTTTCTGTTTTTTGTATTTTGCTAAGGTATAGAGCTTGGGAACATTTAAAGATAATTTCCTCAGATGTTGTGACAGAGCTTACGAACCGTGGTGGTGATGTAATTCTAATAAAGATTCAGCATTGAGAATATAAATGAAAAAAACAAAACAAAAAGAGTGTCCAGAAATCTACAGATGTGCGTAGAAAGCAGTCGGTGTGATGTACTTGTTTTTAGAATGAGACTTTCGTGAACTCTGGGCTGAGGGCCTGGAGGCCAAGTTCTAGTTCTGGGTTTGCTCTAGCAATGGTGGATCAGTTGGCAACTTTATGTAAATACACACACACACACATATAAATAAATAAATATCTATATTTAATAATACGTTTAATCTATATAAATAAAACTATATTTAACAAGTTAAAACACAGCTGTGCTTATACTCTGAAATTATCTGCTTTATCACATAAACATATAGACTTACCCTTATGTTCACAGGAGCATTTATTCACAATTCTGTGTAGACATCCATCATCAAGGATCTTTCCCAAGCAATTGAAATTTAGGCAAAACTGATTCTTATCTGCAGTCAGAGCCTGAGTAAAGGCCAAAATAAAAATCAAAGTCATGAGTCTCCACGTAGTTAAGAGTATGAACATGGTCAAGGGTGAACACTGGCTTAAATGTCTCTTTCCCTCATATATAATATTACACATGAAGATGTTTTTTAAATATTTTTTATAGAATATAAGACCACTGTTAAAAATAAGTACTTATTTTAGAAGAATAAAGATTCCCTAGACACTGTTATTTGTGAAGACCCTTGGTTTGAAAGAGCTGTGGAGATGTTTATAAATCCAAAGAAATTAGAAAAAAAGAGAAAGAATTAGAATAGTCTTCTGAATTAGAAGGCAGCCATCATAACATAATTGTAATATGTGTGTTTCTTTATAAAGGTATTCATTGAGCACCTACTATATGCCATGATCCTTTATATTCATTATCTGAAATCTTCATGACAAATTAGTGAGGTGAAAATTGTTATTCTTATCTAGCCAGTGAGAAAATTGTGCCTTTGAAATTTTAAATCTTGCCCAAAACTCACATGGTTGTCAGACTCAGAAGCATGATACTTTTTTTTTTTTAAGACAGCGTCTTGCTCTGTCACCCAGGCCGGAGTGCAGGCACGATCTTGGCTCACTGCAACTTCCACCTCCTGGGTTTAAGCAGTTTTCCTGCCTCAGCCTCCCGAGTAGCTGGGACTATACGCACCATGCCTGGCTAATTTTTGTTTTTTAGTAGAGATGGGGTTTCACCATGTTGGCCAGGCTGATCTCAAACTCCTGACCTCAAATGATTTGCCTTGGCCTCCCAAAATCCTGGGATTACAGGCATGAGCCACCACACCCAGCCAAGCATGAGATTTGCCAGACTAGGGATTTAAGCTCTCTTCCTTTTGCCTTATATATATGTGTGTGTGTGTGTGTGTGTGTGTGTGTGTATAGATATATTTATACATCACACACACACACACACATACACACACACACACACACACACAAGGATATAAGGATTTGACTGCCCAAAAGATTAAATAAAGGACTACCTATTGGTGTGGTATTTTGAGGATTATTCTCTCTGGCGTGGAAGCTCTCTCAAAGGAAGAGAGCTTATTTTTATATATATCTAAACTTTTATATATGTGTGTGTGTGTGTGTGTGTGTGTGTGTGCGTGTATATATATACATGTATATATATGTATGTATGTATGTATATATACACACGCACACACACACACACACACACACATATTAAGCTGTAAACTGTGATCCAAAAAGGCTGGACAAAATCCAGAACTAGAACCTGGTCTCCTGGCCTTTCGCCTAGGCAACTACCTTTTTGCTCACCTTGCAACAAAATATTAAGAAACAATAAACATAAGAGGTGCTTTCAGAAGTTTATTTTGGGAGTTGCTTTGGAAGATTATTTGGTCCCATGTTCAGTTTTGGAAATACTTATTCATTTACCTCTAAGACTCAGAGGGCCTTATTGTGCAGAGAAGGAAGGAAAATACTGTCTTTGATTTTAATTCTAAATGACGATGGAACCAAGCTTCAACAAAGCTCAGTCATATCAGATTAAAGCAATCAAAGGCCAGCCAACAAAGTCAAGTTTTTACATTTCTGACTTTTAGGTGGCATTAAGGAAAAATTGATTGTAATTTTTAAATGTCATCTGTTTAAGCCAAATCCCCTCATGGATGCCAACATTTGTTGGTAGGTTTTGTAAAAAAAAAAAAAAAAAAAAAGACCAGGGTATTCCAGTTGTGCTGAACTGAAAATAACTCATAGTCTTTAATTCACTCAGATAAAAACAAGACTCCTGTTAACAGAAATATAGGCCAAGCAGAGCAAAGCAGAGAAAGTGAAAAAGCAGCAACCTGTGTCCTCTTCCACCCCAACAGCAGGACAAGCTCAGCAGTGACTTAAGAATCTTCAAATATTAAAAGCTGTGTGAGCATCTGCTCTTATTTCCCTCAAGGTCAGAACTAAAGAAAATGCTGTAAATTACAGTAGGAAGGATTTGGTTATATATAAAATAAATCATTGTGAGGGTGGAGACAAGGATTTGATTGCCCAGGGATGAAATAAAGGACTACCTATTGGTGGGGTATTTTGAGGATTATTCTCTCTGGCATGGATTTGATGAAATCTCACTGTCCTTTCCATCTAAGGTTAATTTGATTTGATGGTAAGAATCACCTGTTTTCTTCTGCTGTAAATTGCAGCTGGATGTGGCTACATTTTCTGCTGGGTAAAACAATGCGTGTTTACTGTTGACAAGGAGAAAGCTAAGTGATGCCTCAAGATGTATTACCGATCAGCAAAGAAAAAAAAAGTCCAGACGCGAAGATTGCTTAAGTTGAGGAGTTTGAGTTTGCAGTAAGCTGTAACTGTACCACTCCACTCCAGCCTGGGAGACAAAGTGAGACCCTGTTTCTAAAAAAAATTAAATGTGTTTGTTAGGGTCATTTGCCAAAATCGTTTGTTGTTTTAAGTGTTGTCATAGAAGTCTGGCTTCAAAGGCTGCTATAGGGTAGAAGGAAGTAATTGTGGAGCATGGGACATTGATCATACTGATGGGAGATTCTGAGTGGGGTCTCAGGGTACTGCTCCAATGAGGTTCAGTTTGTGAAATGTACTTGGTATTGCCAGTGTTTCCATCAACTCACAGTTGCCCTGAGAACAGGAGAGTTATTTAAAGGACAAGGCAACGGAGAGCATCTGGGAGCTTAAAAAGTTTACCTCTTAGCTCCCGTTTGCCTAATTGCTCTGTCTTTCTTTATTCCCAGCTTACAGAATAGAAAGGGTGGTTTTAAGTCTTGGTGTGCCTCGGGTGCTGTTAAAAGACAGGTTTCTGGGCTCATCTCCATAACTGGATCTGAGGGTAAAGTAAAGACGTTTTGGTCACACTGCCTTTCTTGGACCTCTCTTTTAGCAGTTCTAGCTTATTCCTTTTTTGTATCTGATTCTCACACCAACTTTGTTAGATCAACTCCTTCCACTATTACTATTATGAATATGAAGATAAGGAGGGTAGCTGTGGTGAGCAGCCTCTAAGATGGCCTGATGATATCTGCCTCCAGATATTCACACCCTTATGCAATCCTTCTCCTTGAGTATGAATTGGACCTAGTACCCCACTTCTTGTGATTAGAATATGGTAAAAGTGATGGAAGGTCACCTCTGAGGCCAGGTTACAGAGACTGCGGCTCCCATTCCTGTGATCTCGGGCTTTCTGCCTCCTGCATCGTCAGCTGCCTTGTTGGGACCACTCTCGGGCAGCCCACGGAGAATCCCTATCACAAGGAACCAAGGCACTGTGACCTGCTTGGAATCCGCTTAGAAGCAGATTCTCCAGCTCTTGTCGGGCCCAGCTTGACTGCAACTCCATGAGAGAGACCTGGATCCATAGGCACCCAGCTAAACCATTCCGGAACTCCTGGGCCACAGAAAATGTGAGAAAAAGGTTGTAAGTCATCAGGTCTCAGAATAATTTGTTTCCAACAATAGATAACTAAGTCTGTGGCAAAAGCAGGAGGAGCTGAAGATCTAAAAAGGACTTGGCCGCTTTCACCCTTTTCCCTGGGGCTGGAGTTTGATGCCCTTTCTGAAAAATAGGCTCAAGATTAAAATGGGCACTAGCTGTGTCTTTTCTTTTGTCTTTAAATCATTTCAGTTTTTCACTCCATCACTGCCTCAAGTGTGTGGTAATAACCACAGCCGCCTTTTGTAACTACTGCCGATCCCCCTGTTGCTCCTCTGTGGAGCCCCCCAGCCCATCAGCACCCACACCCCCTTCCCACCGAGGGTCAGTGAGCAGCACGGCTTCCTGCCCAGGGCCAGCCACACCTGTGGGTCTTGTGGCCAAGTGCTTCTGTCCATCACAAGCTGGCTCGATGTCTTAGGTGTGATGTCTGCGAGCTTGTTATGAACTTTGAGCTCACAGAAAACAGTGTTCTAGGAAACACAGTTTTGAGACGTGGAGGAGGGGAGAGATTGCAGGCAAGTTGCCTGTAAAGTCCAACTCACATCAGCCCCTTCTGAGAAAGACAGAAAAATTGCCGCAGAGACCAAACAAGGGTTTGGGTGGCAGCTCTCTGTGCCTGGGGGGTTGTCCTGCGGGAGCTGGGAAACAGATGAGCGGTCATCATCAGGGAGACTCTGCCTTTCCTTGCAGCACCTTTTACTTCCAGGAACATTATTTAACCTGGTGCCCAGTACACCCTCCAGCCTCCAAGCTTCTAGTATCTCCCCCCGCCCCCCACCCCACACACACAGCAGGCCATAGACAGCTCAAGCGCCATTCTTACCTTCCACTCAAATTGATCAGTTTGGTGTCCTGTTAGTTTTCTCTTAGTTACCAATGATCCCCGTAAAGTAGTTCT